GGCCGTGGAAAGTTTTGTGGAGAGATGAAGCCCATTTCCATCTGACAGGATACGTGAATACCCAGAATTTTCAAATATGGGCAACAGAAAATCCACTGGCAACGCACCCCGTACACTTCTTCTGAAAAGGTCACGGTATGGTGTGGCTTACAGCATCATTCATCCTAAAACCATATTTTTTCGAGCAGACGGGTGCTTCCGGTCCTGTTACTGCAACCGTCACTGGTCAGAGGTATGCGTCTCTTTTGCGCAACCACGTGATTCCAGCTCTGCAACAGCGTGGATGTGTGGATGAAATCATTTTTATGCAAGATGGCGCTCCTCCGCACATAGCACATCCCGTGAAGCAGTGTTGAGGCGCCATTTCGGAAATGCTCGAATTATCAGCCGTCATTTCCTACAGCTTGGCCGTCCCGATCGCCTGATCTTACTCCGTGTGATTTCTGGCTGTGGGGATATCTGAAGGATGTGTTCCGTGCTCCAATTGCAAATTTAGCGGAATTAAGGCACGCATTTCGCAACACATTCTGAACATCACCCGGAGACACTGCGATCCGTTGTGGAACATGCTGTTTGTCGCTTTCAACTTGTTGCACACGACGGTGGACACCATATTGAACATGTTTTGTGCCAGTCTCGCGACAGTTCCGAACTTCTTTGATGAATGGTTCTTATGCGGTATGTCGCGGCAAAACTCTTGAAACCGATTTGTCCCTTTCGATGTGATATGTACAGTCATGCAAAAAATATTCAACAATTCTAATTTGTCAATGCGTTTTAATGTGTAACTTCCACCTTAGCCATGTTTTACGAATCGCTTCTCGTTTCTCGTCGTGATTCTGCGCTACAGCGCCATCTGTTGCTAACTTTTTGAAACTAAATTTTTCTTCTGCCATACGCTTTCCGCCTTCTTCAATAACATTCCTTTGAAATTTCACATCATTTTCATCAGTGGTTCTTTTTTTATAGCGTTTTGAAACTTAAACTTTAATTATAATCACCCTGTATGTATGACAATATTTCTTTGGAAAAAAAAAATTGCTTCGACATACTGCTATACAAAATATACAATTAGCTACCAAAGATGAGCATAACCTTTGAATTGTCCGAGGGTGAGGAGCCAAAATACACCCAGAACTCCTTAAAAATTTATAAGCATGGGGTGAAATTGTACATAAAATACTGAATAGTATCATACTCTCTGGAGAATACCGTAGTAGTTTTCTTTGGATGTATTAATTAATGTTAATTGCTCCCTAATGAATGTATGGCTTTCTGCTTATTTTCATCGTATTGTTCTTCAATATTTTCTGAAGTTTCACAAACAGAATTTATTCTTAAATTCTGCACATCACTTTTAAATTCATACGACAACAAAGCGTTTTTAAATAGAAATTACCTCATCTACATGCTGGCAAAGTTAAATTATTAAATTTTTTAAGTTCAGTTTAACCGAATGTAAACTGAAAGTTCAAGGTTTTTCGTTATATTAATGCTGAAATATTTATTTCAGGGCACGGTGTTAGCTCAATAATTAAAAAAGATAGCTTCCCGTGCTCTTTTCATACAGTTCCACGAGCCAGGTAGCTTTTCTTTTCCAATCTTATCTAAAAATTCAGAAAAAGAAGAAAAGGATTTTTTTTTTTTCATTCGCCTGAAACTGGAGATATACTTTTCAGTTACAGCCCACTGAAGATTTTTATTTTCTAGCCTTTCACGACGTTTATCTGGGCTTTCTCTCACGATAAATTCCCTTCAAATATATTTTGGGCAGTTTGGAAAAATACTAGGAATCGCAGAACGTTTTAATTTGAACCTCGATAAGGGAGCAGTCACCTTCCTTCCAGTCCTTTCATCAACGAATTCTGTACATTTTGAAATGTCCTCAGGGTGAAAATGAAGGGCACAAACCTATCAGCAAGAATTTGTATACATTAAGTTTTCGGCTTTAAACTGAGCATACATTATTAAATTTCATTAAATTTGTAGCATAAAATAATGCAGGTTAAGTTATTTTAATTATGGCAAAGCCTCGAGGGCTATCTGCCTAAGGGGAGGGATGCCTTCATGGAGGACTTTCTAAGGGAAGCTGGCTCGTATATACGTTACACATGGGGAAAATCCCGAAAGCACCCATGCAGCAAGCCCGTTGGCGGGAATCGAACCTCGGACCGAACTACCAGTGTTCAGCGATTTAACCGCTCGGCCGCTGGTCGGCCACTAAAATAATATAAGTTAATGTTTATTCACGACTAATAGAAAGAAAATCATACTTATCTATTAATTGTATAAAGTGAAACAGGTACTAGTTTTGAAGAATAATGTCTAATTCGATAGAAAAATCTTTTGTCAAATAAAGTGTTGCATAAATTTAATATTTACTACAAAAAATACGAAACACTTGCATGCAAAGATTGTTATAATCGGATTTAATTATCTAAACTAGAATAAATACAAGATTTTGTAAAAACTTCATATTAATTATTTATGTTATATTAAGTGAATTTTAAGAATATCAGGCATGACTCACAAAAAATTTAAATAGCGTATTTTTTCGCATTAACATCAGAAACAAAATTGGTATAGTTTCAGAGATATTATCAAGATTTTTCAAGGTCTTCGGATTTTAATAAATACGCTGTTCCTGTGACAAATGTATCGAGATATTTAAATGCAAGCATTTTGCAACATACAAAATGTATTTATAATTTGAATTTTTATTAATCCTACATTTAATCTAATCTACTTTTAAGTCACACATTGTTTAATTTACTTAACTTGGTAAATGATGCTATTTACTACAAATTGACTAGCATGACGATAAAGAATGCCATCTGCTATGGATTGAACGATTAGCATGATGATAAACAGTACTATCTGCTATAAATTAAATTAATAGTATGATTAAATCATCATACTTATATAATCACTATTAGACTTACAATAATATTAAATATTTACTTTCCTATAAATGTATGTACTCGCTTTAGTTTATGATAATTATAACATACTTAACACAGAAGCACTTTTAAAAAGCACAGATAAGTATAAACTTATTCATAAAAAAAAAAAAAAAAAAAAAAAAAAAAAAAAAACGCAACTTACCTTCGAAAATTTTGTTGGCTTGAAATGCTTCTATGAATCGACTTATATCCATTTATTTAAGAATTCTTTCTCTTTCGGAAAAGAGAAAACCTGTACTTTGGACCATTTGGATAGTTCCCTTTACAGTTAGGTACACAGCATGTGTAAACCATATCAAAAATTTGAAAAACAAATAATATAGTGGAATACTTATAATATAGAAATATCTGAAAAAAGAAAGAAAATGTCGACTGTTCTTATGGACGATTTCTGACCAAATGACCGTCAAAACTCCGGAAATCCACCCACCACAGTCCTGGGTAGGGAGAGTTAAATGAAATACAATCCCTACTGACACTGACGTCACACCTCCTCCTGGGAAACGCGCCGTGGCCTTCAGTTAGTTCTAGGAGGTGTTGGCATGTGTGGTTAATGTTGGTGCGAATAGCTCAGGCGGCTAATCGCACCACTAGTGCGAATAGCATCGGCCCATGGTTTCACGATTCTAACCTCCAGGGTCCTTCCTAGGTTATTGGCTGCCCGCGTACTTCCCTAAAATTTCTACATCTTGACACTTGAGAATAAAATACGATCTGTGTATCTGTGCATTTTTCTAAAATTGCCGCCCCCAATTGTAAACTTAAAAACAAATGCTCAGATTAATAAAATTTTGATTTTATACTCACTAAGTTCTTACAAATTGTATATAACGTACTTACATATGACAAGTACTTACAATGAATTTGAAATATTTAGGCGTGGTATCGCGAGAGTCCTGTTGCCCCTGATTTTGGCCACCCGCGTGCTTTTACGCGTTCTACCCGCCCCCCCCGCTAAAAACGGCCAAGTAGCGCACTTACCTCTTTTGTTTTGCCATGTTTGTCTATGTTCTCTTTCCAGCTCTACCACTCGACAGCTTCTGTGCTTGACTGGCTTTCTATCCAGATTATTGCTTTAATTACCGTTAGGAGATATGCTGTCAAAAACTTATGTACCATTGCCTGATAATTATGTATATCCACAACATTTTAAGATATGTTCATTAATGCATTCAGTTATAATTCACATATATTCGAAACTATACTATAATTTGTTCGATGAGGGTACTCTCAGGTACTCTGGTGTCTGGCACCACTTTAGATTACCCGCTAGAAACGGCCGTACCAAAGAGAGATTCCATATAGATTCTTTGGTCGCACTTCGTATTTTGTTTCTCTTGTGTGTACATGTATTCTTCTGTGAAATGGTTGTTAAAAAATAGTTAATTATGTATGGATTAGTATTAGGTACTTAAGGAAAAAAAAATGTGTATTTAACTATTAGCAATTATGAATTTAAAATCTTCTCTTTAATTATTTAGCACATTCAGTTATATTTCTCATAATTCGAAACTTTTATCATGTTATACGATGAGGGGTAGGGCTATGGCGCCCAGGCACCTTGGTGGTTAAGCACCGCAGTTCAACTACTTTTACCTGCATGATTCCACTATTTCAAAAGCCTCCCGAGGGGCGTTGCCAAAACTCTTGCGCGCATGTGTTGTTATGTTATTTTCGCGCCGATTCCCTCCCGTCGACGTTGAACGTCGGTCAGACGGAACTATAGTTTCTGTATTAAAGATGTGTGGGTGTTCGTAGAAGTTAAATGCTTAACTAAATTATTGAACACTGTTGAATAAAATTTAACCGATCATGGTAAGTAGACACATAATATTAAAGGAAAGTTTTTTGTTCCATGAAAGAATGTTTATGCATTTTTTTTCACGCTCCTGATGTTAAATGTTGTTTGCCGCAACTAGTTATAATGGTAACCATGGCAACGAGATATGGAAAACGTAAACAATATTTAAATCTGGTTAAAATATATTATATAAAATTTATAACATGATATCATTTTATGTCTAAGTTTTTAACTGATGAACCCCAAATTATACATTAATGCAACTGTTAATAGAAATATTATGTAACTAAGTGAAATAACCAAAAAATAAAAATTAATGCGAAAAATATTGAATTGTGTATATAGTATGTTGTTTTCTGATATAAAAGCAAAACCCTGTGCAGTTTTTGCAAAGATCTCTTGAAACTGGAAAAATAATGTTGAAATTATGCATTTAAATGTGAAGTAATACTGCTTATTTTTATGTAATACTTGAATTATTTACGTACGCCAAATTTAGGAAATTTTTCGCCCCTTATTTATCATTTTTTTCTTTCTGCTTGTAGAAATTTATTCATATTATTATGCATTTGTTGTAATTTTAATTTTTATAAATCCATCTCATGACAAACAATTTGAACACAAAAATGTACCAAATTTTCATTATTTTATTGTTGATACATCCATAATTAATCAGTTTTTCTGTATTAAAGTTACCATCTTAATTATTGCATAAAAAGTAATTCCTTTATAAAATTTGTTAAATATTTATGTAGACTTTTTTATATTTTGATAATTTGTGTATCTTTGGAAATACTTATAATATTTTGAAGTATAGTGTTATTACAAATAATTCATGAATTTTAAAGATCTGTAATTTTTAAGTTGTAGATTGCACATTATTTTGAAATGAATGAAACAAAGTATCTGAAATTTTTAAACTTGCATGCAAACATTCTTGTGAGACACTGAAGCAGATATGAGTTCTTTTCCAAAATGATCAGCAGAAAGCAGTTTGTGGTTTAGAATGTGTAAAACGTTTATGTGTTGTTACGATGCAGTATGCATTTCAAAGTTAATAGCTACATATCCATCTGCCCTAACTTTCTATCATGGTATTAGTAGTTTTTGAAATCTGGTTGGCAGTGTAAAGGCAAAAGCTCGGATGGCTAAGTACTTCTAATCAAATAGTGAAGATAGATAGAATTTCATGTATGTTTTCAAAAATAACAAATTATGCTAGGAATTTCAAATGGTTTGAAACCATTTGAAAGATTTTGCGATGGCTGCTGCAACTGAAACTGCTTGATTTGTAGATATTGCAATATTTGTAGCATGATATATCAAGCCATATGAATTTTGTAATCACATGCAAGAAGCATTCGAAGACAATGATTTTGTTACCAATTTAATATTCAATGATGAAGTTATATTTTATTTGTGAAGAACTGTAAGTCATTCCAATGTGTTGATTTTTAATATGAAAATTTGTCATGCTTTCAATTGAACAGAAATTGGATTTATGAAAGCTAAATATCTTCTGTTATCTTTCTCAAACAAAGGTGTATGGATAATTTTTTTTTCTTTGAGACTCTATGATAAGTTTGCCATATCTTGATATACTGCAGATGTGATTATTTCCTGGAATGACAGATACATATACAATTGGGGCAAGATACCAGAGTCAAAATTTATCATGTAGGTGTAGTTCCATCTCACTAATTATAAAGTTGTGCCCAATTTTTCTTATCATCAATTTAGGTACAGTGAAGGTGATTACTATCTGAATAATGAGCTCCCATGTTACTGAATTAGATGACATGGAAATGCAATTTGGCATTTTTCAGATGGCCACCAAGGTCTCCTGATCCTAAGACCAGTGTTTTTTTTTTTTTTTTTTTTTTTTTTTTTTGAAAAAATGGTTCATTCTCAGATAAAGCTGTCTCACTTAAGGAGCTTTAAACTGAAATTAAAAAAGAAATGAATGTGAAGCGAGTGTAGTATTTTACTAACATCACTTTGGTTAGTTTATTTTTCAATAATATTATAATTATTATTGTACATTAATTAATGTATTGTTTATGAATACTTATAACGCTGTTAGATGTATGGAGTAATACAGTGGTAGTTCTTAGCTTAGCAGTTGCTGAATACTGTTACTTTGACCTGGGTTTGAACCCAGATGAAGGGGCTGGCTACCTGATTAATATTTGTGCAACATGAATATGAACCAGTATCCATTACAAAGCCCTCCATGAAGGCATGCCTTCTCTTGAAAAGATAGCTCTCATGTGCTTTACCATATTCAAATTACCATAATCTTAGCACAGTGATTTTAATGCTGTGATACATAAGTATTACTGCAAGTACTGCTAATAATTAAATTTTATTTAACAGTTACTTGCCATAATAATGGAGTATTTCATAATAATAACCTCATAATGTTTTAATGACATTAAATGTTTATATTTGCATAAAATATGACTATTTGAATCTTTTTTTTAAAAAAAAAATTACAGGCTGAAGATCTTACTTTAAATGACCATCATAGTGAAATGATTGGAAATTATTTACGATTTGCAAAATTTAGAAGAGGGAAGCATTTACGAACTGTGGAGCAAACTTTTGAAGACATTAAACTGTCGAGGTAATTTAAAATGCACATTGTATGTAGACATAAGAATCTTAGATGTTAAAATATCTGAATCATAAATAATGTTAAAAAAAAACACTTTTTTTATTTAGGCAGTGCTTATGTTGAGAATTAGATGTCATTATTTTTACTTCATTTAAATGCACTAATAGTTTTAAACAAGATCATTAAAAGGATAAAGTCTAGTAACTTCCTTCTTTAGCAGTAGAGCATTGCACAAAATAAGAGAATATTCTATCTGGTCAAAGTAATAATAAATGTAAGGGCAGCATACTTTAAGATTGTCATTAATTTTAGAGATATGCATGCATTTTCAGAAAGTTTTAAATTACCTTTTCGTTCTTCTTCAAAAAGAATATTAATTCTTTTTTGGTAGAAAACTGTTCAGGTTTTAGAATTGTTGTTAGAAAGTGTAACTGCTATTAGTTTATATGTGAATTACAGATAAAATAAATGATTTGTATCTAATATGATAAATTATATTTCTAGTCAAATTAATATTACTTTTTCTATAATTATGTATTTATGTTATATTTGCATTGATTTCAGTTCAGAAATTCTGTCTTCAATAATTTCAAATCAAAACATGTTGAAATAATTTCTTAGGAAAATACTGTAACTTTCTGTTTGAGTTGAAAATCTTAAAATTGATAGTAGGGATGTATTTGAGTCAATCTCACCATTTTTTCTTTACTGTTGAACATTCCAGCTATCAGGAAATTAGGAATGTCAAAAATTATTATCCTACCTTTATGATTCTTAAGACTGTAATCACTATTCATAATACCTAATTTGTGAAATTAATTTAATTATATGAATCATCCTTCAAGTAAACTTATGTACATCTTGATAGTCAAAAATTGAAAAGATCTTGATGCATCTTTTAATTGATTCTCCATTTTTTACTGATAAACTCTTACTTAATAACAGTTTTTTTTTTTTTTTCCAAAATTGTTTAGAAGGTAGAAACTTGATTAGAATCATTTATGATTAATGTTAATTATAAATTGTTCTAAATAAGGTTTAATATTGGTCAACTTTAGAATAATGGCCAGTTTTTCTGAGTAGTGATGGTCCTGGATCTGTTAAGTGGCAATTAAATACCATGTTGCTATCATAAAAGAACTCATGTGTGACAGTTCCTGATATTTGAACTGCTTTGTCGTGCAAGCATTTGATTGACCCTTGAGACTGCTACAAACTCTTTGCGGAATTCAGTATGGAAAGTTATAGAGTTGTATATATATTTCAAATGATTCTGTATTGATATTTCACAGGGTTCTGCCTAGGTGTATATATGTAGAAACCTCTGTTAATATTCTACGTCTGTAATACATTTACCAGAATTTTAAAGTCTAGAATGGTTATGATATTTAGTTCATGTAATTTCCTGTACTTTTAGTAAACACTAATGAAAGGTAATAAACAGTAAATCAGAAAAGCAGCACACATCAGAAATAATATATTGAAATAAAAGTGTATGAAAGCATTAAAAAATATGATTTGCAAATTACACAGCTAAAAAATCAGAATTATAATCAACCTATCCAAGAAAAAGGGATAAAAGGTGTTTTCTATCAAAAGTTTTACCTTAAATAAATAAAGTTCTTAATTATTTTCACATTAACTACAGGGAGGGGGAGATATAAATGAATATCTGAAATTCCTGTCAAAACAAGCTCCTTCACAATTAGAAAACTTACTTCTCTCTGTAGAATGATCAAAATCTGGATTTAGAAAAGAAAGGTTCTCATGGTGTTCAAAATCTTATTTTAATTAGTTTTAAGTTGTGAAGAGTTTGTTTTATATATAAATTCTCTTATAATTTAAATTGTACAAGAACTCTGATTCTCTTTTAAAATATTTAATATTAGGTACTTGCATACTACAAATCTGCTAGTAATATAATTGCAAAATAGTTTTGGTGCATGACTTAATCTCTTTGTTGGAAATGTGATGTTTGATATCAAAATTAATTTAGAATAACATCTCTTTTATTGAGTGCATCTCTTATAGCCATATAAAATAGTGCTTAAATTTGATTGTAGGTATTGTAAAAATCATTACAATTAGTGCTGTAAAATAACTTAATATTATTTTAAATATGTACTGCATAAAATTTATGAAATTTCCCTTGAATTGTTTTTTCATTGTGATCATAAAATTATGTTTTTTGACAGTAAAATATTATAATTTAGGTTAATGGAAGAAACGTATACAGTTGAAGAAGTAAAAGAAATGTTAGATGAATTATGTTCATTGCTAAAAGGTGATCTTGAGATAGAATTGATGAACACAGCTCATACAGCAGCACTTCTTCTGTGTCAGATGTGTGTTCAGTCACAGCAGTGGCATCTGAAACTTAATGCTGACATCTCAGAACTGGAAAATAGGTACTACTAATTTTGAAGCCTTTTTAATGTAATGTGATTTTTATAATATTTATAAAATGAAAGAGAGATAAAAACATGAGAGTAATTAATAATATAGTTTACATGATGCATTATGATAAATCCATTAAAAACATTCAAATCTCTTTGATTATTTAATATGAATGTCAACAGGCAAAATAATAATAATAAAAGGAAATAATAATAATAAAAAAGAATAATAATAATAAGGAAAGTTAATAATAATAATAATAATAAAGAAAGCTATTTATTAATTTTTGTTATAGTATTTTGTTTTAGTTGTCACTTTGATAGTTTTGAATCAGAACAGCTGTCATATATGGACTGGGTTGGCGAGAAACTCCTTGATTTTACTTATCTAAATTGTCTGTTTACATTTCAAACTTAAAGCCTAAAATGTAAGGAAAAAAAAAACATGGTTTTCGCATGTGCGATTTACACTAAAAATCCAAAATAAAAACAAAAAATTTAGATAAGCATGAAGGTTCTCACCAAAAATGTGTGACGGCAAATTTAAAAGGGAAAAGTTTACAGTTGGTTGCCCCTTGTTTTTTTTTTTTTTTTTTTTCAATTCTTTTTTGATGCCAAGATTAGCGGCAGGAAGGCACAATTTCAAGATGGCCACTACACAAAACCAAAATAAGAAGTCAAAGAATTGCACAAACTCGGTGTCCATGTACATATCGATCTATTTGCACTTAAGAAAACATTAGAGAATTGCACAAACTTGGCATTTTGCACTGCCTTGACTTTGTCCATGTACACATCGATCTATTTTCACTTTAACCCATTAACCGCCAAAACTGCAAGGAATGTTTCTTTTCTCATGAAAATAATGACAAATATTAAATTAAGCATTTATAACATAAATTTACATTGAAAATTAAAAAATGCTCTTACATGTGAAAAAGCGAGTGTTGCATTCGCAATCGTCAGCAGAAAGACTGGATGTTTAGTGAGTAGATTGTACTCATGTGATGTTTTTTTTTGAGTGGAGTGCAGGATTACTTTTAGCTGTGTAACTTTTATAAATCTACAAATCACTTTACGTGTAATTAATTTAATATTAAAATATACATTGTATTCTTTTACAAAACAGTTTATTTCAATTGAAGATTCAAGCATAAAAGCTTGATTACAACCATGATGTAAAGCTACATTACATACTTTGATCTATAAACATGGCTATGGTACTCTTTACAGCAAAGTCTTTTGTTATCAAGGACTTTACGATAAAATGTTACCATCTCCATGCAATGGTTTTTGAATGCTGATTCACTAGGTCTTCCTGTTGCTGATCTATTTCTGGCTAATTCTACACTCCTCATAGGAGTTTTCAAAGGAATAATGCATTCTCGCGTCTGAAATCAAAAGAGACTTATATTTCCGTAGTAAAAGTGGTATATTTAGTAAGTTTAGATACGGTCTCACCTCAGATAATTTACAGTATTGTCAATTTGACTATTGTCAGATGCAAGTTCTGCTTCATATTCCTGTACTGCAAACGTGATATCGATTCTCTCGACAACAGGAACAGAAATGTCCTTATCAAAAGACGAATATATTTTTTCTTGAGGTAAAGAATGTTATCCCATAAACAATAATATTCCAATAAATCTTCTCAGGTTAGATGCAATAAATTCTGGCTTTTTTTTTTTTTTTTTTTTTTGCTGAGCGTATATATTTGTCTGTTCAAGAGAAGAGAGTAATGTCTAAACCAAAAAGAAAATCGAAAATCTTTGCACTAGTTTTACCTTGTATTTTGTCTTTTATAATTTCTCTTTTAAATTTTTCTTCATGTTTTTACTGAGACATAACTACGTTCCTTTTCTATCCACTTCAAGATTCATCTTCGCTTTTTAAACTTTTTAGTATGACTATAACTGCTTTTAGAAGGCTGAAACTTCTTCTTACCGTGAATTTCAACTTCCCCAGCAGTATATTTGGTAAAATATTATTATCATTATTTAAAACATGCCATTCCTTTTTCTTTGTACTAGTTCTGCAATTTCTAGGGAAACAACAACAATGGCTTTCTTCTGGTCATTATCACATTATCATCATCTGTTTCTTCATCAAAAATTTTGAAGGCTTCTCTATTGTAAATACCTCGTTCCGGGCATTTTTAAACACCAGAGCATAACCAGAACTTCGAAAGGAATGAGGAAAAAGGATTGACTACCCGTGTCCTTCTGACGTTGCATCAACGCAACACCTATGTTCTTCCTTCCCACACAAATTAAACTTCTTCTGATGAATGTTCTGATAAACGGTGACCTTGACTAAAATAGATCACTCATAAACGGTGATTCTTTGGTTAAATATTTTCAGCAAAAATACCCGGTCGAAAATTTTGCTTAAAGTATAAAATTAATTATTATAAACAAACTGATTGTTGAAGGCAAATATTTTTTACAGAATTAATCTTCATAATATTCCCTACACAAAATCATGTGCTTGTAAAAATATCTTAAGTAGTTATATTTATATACACATTTATTTTGACCGTTGCATCAACGCAACACCAGCGGCTAATGGGTTAAAAAAATCAGGAAGCTAAAACCAAGTTAAAATTATTAAGGTAACCAGAAATAGGGTTTCATCACCAAAATTGAACAAAATTTGTTGCCAGTTGAAGGGGCACCCAATTCTACACTACAGCCCTTTAGACTAAAATAATAATAAATTCCAAACAATTTCAACTCAAATAATTTTAAAAATTAAAAAAAATAACAACACAAAATTAAAGCAATGCAACAATTAAAATAACTCTCTACAAAATTAAAAAAATAAAAACAAATTTACTTACCATCAAAATAGTTACCAAAAAAGCAAAATATTAATTTCAAACAAAAACTTGTAAGGACAGACATATCATACATATAATCCAATATATTTTCATTAATAAAACTATGACAATCATACAAAGCATGCGAACCAAAATGCCACGACTTAGCTATATCAGATGTCTTTCTATGGTTCAAAATTTCAAATGTTGCAATAAAAATTTCCTCTAAAGTCAACTTACTGCAGGAAAACCAGGATCCAAACCCCAAAATTCATTCAGAACCACATTCTTTACCCTCAACAATTTTTCTGGAAATCCACACAAATTCATCAAAAACACAATTTTTCTTCCAAATCTTCATATCACAGCCGCACATTTCACATGTCAAGTATGGCTTCAAAAAAATCAAAAATCCTGTATCCCATAAAAACTGCCAAAATACACTTCTGTCAGCATGAAGACAACTATGAACAAATGCTTCATTAATAACTTCAACAACATATCTTCTTGAATTAAATCTAGCTTGGATACACTCTAAAACATGTAGCTGATATCTTTCCACAACTTCCTTCATGGAACTATATGCCATAATTCAACACATAACCAAAAAATCACCATAATGAAATAAAACCATATTCCCCACAAAAGTTTCCATTTAAAAAAGGGTTGTCATACAAACAAAATCTGACCAAAATCTCTATCCAACACAAAATATCACCACATTTGGCGACCACATGTATCTGTATATGACACCTTAGCCTTTAAAAGCAGTCAGACACCTTAGCCTTTAAAAGCAGTCAGACATCTTAGCCTTTGATAGTATTCTGTTAGCAGTCAGACAGTTAGTTTGAATGTAAAATGTTCTCTACTTTTATATCTCTAATATCTTTCCTAAATATGTTCCTTTGTATTATTTTTATAATTAGTATTTATTACTTATTTGTGAATGTATAAAGAATGCTTATATAACTACTACCTTAGAATTGTTATAAACACATTTTATCAGCACCCTTTACCCCTCTCTTTTTGACAAAAATTTTGTGTCATAAAATCCTTTTCCTCTTTATTAATTTTTAAGTGGAAAATACGAAGCAACTTTCTATTGTTTTTATCAACTTAAATCTAGTTTCCATTTAATCAACATTAAAATAGTGTGGAATTTGAATGAATATTCATGAAGCTAAAAGACCCATTTGGTATTAAATGCTTTCTTCTTTACTTTTTCTTTCATTCACTACTTGTTATCGAGTATTAGAAGCAGAAGTACTATTTAAAATATCTTCATGAGGTGAAGAATGATTCAGATTATTATCTAAAATAGCAGAGCAGAGCTTTTCATGTACTCCTTTTCTATCATCAATAATATATATATATATATATAATGTTGTATGAACTTTCTACTTTAATTAAACTTAGGAGATAATATAATCAATTAATCATACTGTTTAGGAATAATTATTATAAATATATATATATATATATTATATATATATATATATATATATATATTACTATATATGTGTTTTTGTATATGTATATATAATTTTTAGGTTTTAATTTCACATTTCTTTAATTCTTATATTGTATATTTATGGAAATTTTTATATTTGGTGGTATTGAATTTCACTTTTTTGGTGTTTGTGTAAAATAAGTTATAAATTCCTTACTCTTTACTTTTTGTATATATATACATAGTTTTAAAATTTCATGAAAGCAAAATTTTTCATCAGTGTTTTAAATATATGAAAAAAAAATAACATTTTTAAATATCAGTATTTCAGTTTTCCTGATTACAATTACATAGTATAACTAAATTAACACAGTTTTCTTATTGTGAAAGAAAGAGGAAATAAATTTGTAGATGAATTCTTTAATATATATTGTATATATCATTCTTCTGATTTCTTGATGCTGTTATGTTTAATATTGTGTAATATCTTATATTTGTCTTTTTAGAGACATGTTGGAAAAAGTAAATAAGTTTGAAGAAAGATTTGTGAACAGCAATTCTCTTGATAAATCTTTAACTGGCTCTCCGCTGCGTTTGAATAAACTACAACCCCTAGCTGAAAATGTTGGAGCCAATCAATTACTTCAATTGGTGATTAACATTTATTTAAAATTATTATTTTAACTGTCATAAAAATAACTATGAAGCATATAATGTGCATAGAAAAGGAATAAATTTTAAGCTATGTAAAACATTTAAGTTGTGAAGAATATTATTAAGTTATGGAGATGAAGGGTGAAAATACTAAATGTGTAAAATAAAAGCATTGAAAAAATATAAGGTTACTTGGTAATTATGTAGTATGCAATCTACCACTTTTAGTTAGTTATTTTTTTCGGTGGTGGCACTAAAATTAGTTATTGTTTTAATCATTTCTTTTTCTTGCCATTTATTAAAATTTTAAAATATGTTTCAGTTGTCATGTTTAGCTTATCTTAGCAATAACTAAAAGTGATAGCTTGCATACTACATGATTACCGACTACTTTTTATTAGCTTTAATTGTATTACTTTATTGCCTCTTTATTGTTTGTACTGCATTTTACTCTAGAAATAGAAATCTATTTGGTGCATTTTATTTTTCTAATGTTTGAAATTACTGATTGCATTAATTGGCTTGATAGATATAATTTTTAAAACTGTTACTTCACGTATGAGTAGATGGATGTATAAAATTAAGCAAAGCAACAACCTTCTATTTATCGTATATTTTAACCAAGGAACTATTAGTTTCAAAGGCAACAGGTGCAGGTTCCTCATCAGATGAAGAAAAGAAATTCTGAAAAGAAGGGCTTTGCTTTTAAACTAAAAGCAAAAGAGTAAAATGAATGAGAAGGTAATGCTATCTGTCCACAGAAATAGTAACGAAACATAAAAAAATTAAGTTAATAAGCATTCTAAAAGTGTTAAGAAGAAAGATATTGGAATTAAAGTCGTTAACTAAACAAGATAAATCTTTGTGAATCTGTGTGATCGAGATAAATCTTTGTGAAGCTCCAAGGAATCCAATTCATCAATTAAAGAAGCTTTATGGATAATTTTAGCAGACCCAAGTCAAAACTGTGATTAAATTTCCAACTGTAATTAGCCTTGAAAGACCTGTTTATTTCTTCTTTTTGCATATAAGATTTGTGTTTCTTGATGCATAATGTGAACACTCTTTTAGTTTGGCCAATATACCTCAAACCACATTAAAAATTTATGCTACAAATTCCCCAAGAATTAAATTCTGAAATGGACTATTTTAAGAACTTCATGAAGAATGGATTTTATTCATAGCTGAGAAAATGACTTGAAAACTGAACTTCTGGAGAAACCATGCACTTTTATAATTGATAGAAGGATGACAAGGTTATTAATGTTATTTCTAACAGCATAATGTCTTCTTTGATGGCAAAATGAAATTATTTTAAAGGTTTTTAGCAGTAACCATGGGAGAAAATCCTCTGCCAATGGCAAATGATTTCAAATAATTGAGTTCATTAGCAATCAAAGAGGAGCAAACTTTGAGAGCGCAAAATACATAATAGTAAAAAGAAGCCATTTTTTGTTAGCTAGGTGATATAATTTAGTGTGGTGAGACAAGCAAACAGAAAAGGGTTTATGGTAAGCAGTAGTGTTAAAATGAGATTCATTGCAGATTATAAGAATATCAAGGAAGGGAGGATATTATCAGATTAAGTTTCAAAAATAAACTGTATGGCTGGATCAATCGAATTTATAACAGATAAAATCTGGAATAAATCTTCTTTATTACCATCAAAAAGTGTGAAAGTATCATCTATGTAGCAAATCCAGAGACAAAAAGATAGTTTCTCAAGTAATTTGACCTCAAAATAGTGTTTGTAAGTGTCAGCAAGTAAAGGATGGAGGGATTACCCATAGCTAAGCTTTCCATTTGGCAACAATATTTATTTTGGAAAAGAAAGTGGTTTTGACTTAAAAAGACTTTAATCAGACAAATTAACTCTTCAGCCTCAATGTGTGTAAAATGGAGTTCTTGAAGAAATGTTAGTTGTCATGGTATTTTAGTGCTCCTTTGACTGAAACATTAGTAACCAGTAATTTAACATCAAGAGAAACCACAGCTGAATGCTGAGAAGAAATGTCTTTAAGTTTACCAATGATTTCAAGAGAATTTTTTACAGGGTAAATATTGTTAGAAAGTAAAGGAGAACATCTAAAAATTATGTATTTTCCCAAAGGATGTGATGTAATCTACAAGTTAGAAACTATAGATCGAAAAAGATTTCCATTTTTGTGAACTTATGGAGAGCATAAAACCTAGCACAGTTAGCATGAGGTGGAATGAGTGATTTTTTAAGCTGAGTTGGAAGTTTATGAGAAGATTTAACAGTTTTAACTTTTGTGAAGTCAGAATTTAAAGGATCTTAGAAATTTAGCTGTATGTTCCCTCATTTATCAGTTTAGTGATGCTATCAATGTAGAATAAGGTTGCATTAGTTGAACCACTTAAGAGGGGCCCAAAAAAAAAAGTATAAATTGTAGCTTTATGAAAAAAATAAAAATTATGTGTGATAATATCTTGTGCTGTCATTGATGATATAGATTACAATAAAATTACAGACAGTTACTCTTAGATAAAATTATAAAATTTATGGACATAAACTTAATGACTTAGACAACCAATACTCTAAGTTGTACCACCTGTAGCTTAAGTCGTACTACTTTTAAAATTGGACAATTATAATAAAACTTTTTTTTATCAATTTGTTTATACAATTAATTGCAACAATGATCACAAAGATATTTTTCATTTTCTTATCAACTTCAACACATAATTCATGTACTCATCCTTTGCATTTTAGACACTAAATCATATTCTCTTTACAGTCTCCCTTACAAATGTTACAGGCAGATGAACATGATATGAAACAGTATGGTTGGCAAGAGAGTAACTTGTTTTGCGAGAAGAAGTGCAGTTGGTGTGGTATTACACCTAATATTTAAAAGGTACGACTTAAGTGGTGGTATAACTTGTACAATCTTCTCCTATGTGTGTGTGTGTTTATAACAACAATGGGTATATGCTTTTTGAAACAAATTTGTATTAGTTCACTTCTTTCTTCTAAATAACTTGTGGGAATTATTGCTATCCGTTCAAGCATATTGCATGTATGAAAAGATTTAAAACAGATATATATCATATTTTACTTCTTAAAATATAAAATTGATATTCAGTGTTGTAATGTGTGTAAAATTTTAGGATATAAGTGAATATAGAGGGAACTCTGTGTACTTCTTATGTTCATAATAATTTTACATTTTATTTCATACAGGAAATTGACCGATTGAAAGAAGAGAATAAAAAACTTTGTGATAAACTGAGAGAAGTGGAAACTCGGGTATAATTTTTTAAAAGTTATTTTAATATAAAATTTATTGTAATATTAATTTATATTAATTTCATTTGCATCTGAGATTTACATTAACAGTTTTATAATATTGTTACAATATCAAGCATTTGTTCATAATTTTATTTAAAAATTCAATTTTTAATTTAAGTTTTATTCATAGTATTATACTTTATTTTAGATAAAATTGGGTTTATTATATATATATATTATATAGCATTTTCTGCATTTGTTTAAAAAGTAAAAAAAAATATCTGTTTGTAGTCAGAAGTTTAAAAGTACTTTTCATTCTTTTCTTGCCTTTTTCAGAATCAGTTAAAAATTGTTTTAAATTTACTGTTGCATTAAATTATTGTGTCTTTCAGGATTAAACTTCAATTTTAACACATTCAATATTGGAAACTAGATAATAATTATCAGACAAGTTAGTGTAATTCTATGCATTCATTAAAAATAATTTGTTTAGGTATAAAATGTTGTATTGTTACATGATGACCAATCCCAAACAGAATGCAATTACAATTTGAAAATCTGAAATGTATATGTATACAATTTTAAACTGTAAAAGCTTAAAGTAGATTCATCAGTGCAGTTTTCTATAGCTAACATATAATGGCAAACATAGATAACTTACAGTTTAAGCAGCAGCTACAATTTCATATATGTTATTAGTTATTTTGAGTAGTCCTGCTACATGATTTCATAAATCAACATATGTGACCTCATTTGGATTTATGTTCAAAGAAAACAATGATAATTTCTAGTGATATCTTTTGTTTTCAAGGATATGTCACTGAAGTAAAATAAGCTGACTGGTGTAATATTCTTTCTCACCTTGATGAATTTTTATCCTGGCTTTCTTTTAGCATTTCACTATTGTGACAATATTTTTTATCTATGTACTTGCATGATATTACAGAATTATGCTATGTTATCTTTTTTTTTTTTTTTTTTCTGTATGTACTGCAAATTTGAAAGTTAATTGTGTAATTGGTATTAGTAGTGTCTCCTGATATTATGAATAACACTGATAGGTTTTTAAAACCATTGTTATGTAGCAACTTCGCCCTAGTTGATAACAGACCATTCTGAAACTCTCTCCAGTCTTGAATATTTTAAGGTACATTTAATTTTGGACATTTCTGTGTGAGCCTAACCTGTTTTTCATCAGGCAACCATTCTTCATCACTGAAAATCACTCCTTGGTTAAAATATGATTAACTTAGCATGTTAGAAACAAAATATACAGTACTTACAACCAAACAACTGCAGAAACATATCAAAAGCATGTACTTCCTATCTGATATCCAAGTTGCTTACTGTATGCATAATAATAATTTTTTAGCCCGAAAGCTATCAATCTCAAAACGAGATTTTCCGTCATCCACTATAAACAGCTGTATCACTTTTCAAATTGTTACCACCAAATATTATGTTTTCAGAAATTAAATAATGAAGAATTTGCATGCATGTAGGTATATTTTTTTCATTACAAAAAGGAAAGGGTACCTAGGATCATCAAATTTTGAATAATGTAGTCCTTTACCCAAACACAAGCTCTTGGAAGCCCAAATTTTGAATTTTATATTTTGTAAAACTTTAATGAATTTTTGATTAACAAAGCCAATGATTTGAAATCAAGCAATCAACACTGTAGGGAATAAAACATTTTTATCTCCTACGGGTGAGACTGTCTATCAGAAATCCTAAAGACACAGTTTTTAAATATTTTGTGCTTTTGAATTTTATTTGGCATAAATGCGAAGAACATGAAATTTAATTAACAAATTCAACACATGAAACATTAATAATAAAAAGATAAAAACAAGTTTTGCAAGACATCTTACAAAAAAAAAAAAAAAAAAACTAAATATTGATATGATGAACTGAGAAAATAGAAAAATATATGCCAGCACCTAACACTTCAACAGGAATTCTAAACAAATGCTGCTTTTAAATTTTTTGAAATTTTGCTGTTGAACTGTATATGGTGCAAGTACGAAGAAAACTAAGCTTCATTAGCAGGAGTGAATGCAACAGCAGATTGGTAGACTGTGAGCTTAGTGACAGGGTAAAAGAAAAAGATTTAAAAACCTCTTTTGGAGGACTTTTAAAATATGAACCCTTACAGATATTTCTTATTCCTACATTTTCATGTATTGCAATTGGTCTTTTTTTTTAATATTGAAAATATTTGATTAGACTAACAACACCAAAAAATATCAACTATTTTTCATAAACTATTTACTTAAAATGTTTTTCTACCTTCAAAATGTACCAGTTCAGGCTTTGGCTCCATAATTTTTAATTCAATAAATATGTCAATAGCTTGCATATTAAATGAAAAGTGTATGACCTTTTGTTATATAAAGCAAATAAATTTCCATGCAAAATTATTTTGTCTACTGATTTCATTGATTTATCTTTTACAGACACTTGAAATACTAGAACAAAAATCTATTTTAGCTGAAAATCTAGCCCAAGTACAAGAAGAATTGACTGAGTGGAAAGGGAAAAATGTAATTTTTTTTAATTAATCAAATATTACTTGTATCTGACATGTTTTTTAGCTGGAAATATGCAAGTGGAACTTCATAAATTTTAAAGGTTTCTCTGAGATTTCAAGTGGTGGACCTTTTAACTACTTTTCATTAATTTACGCCAGCAACAGCTTCTAGGAGTTTTGGACGGTGCTTGGAAGTAACAGTAACTCCTTTGGCTACATCAAGTTTCTTAATTTCTTCCTTCTTCTTTGGGTCTACCAGCAGCTGAGTGGTAAAGTTGCTGAACACTGGAAGTTCGGTCCAAGGTTCAAATCCCGCGATCGTGCTGGCTACATGGGCATTTTCATGGTCGCCATGTGTAACATATATACGAGTCAGTTTCCCTTAGAAAGTTCTCGATGAAGGCATCCCTCTCCTTAGGCAGATAGCCCTAGTGTGCTTTGCCATAATCTCAACAAACCAAACCAAACCAAACCTTCCTTCTTCTTCAGAATATAACAGATTGTTGATGTCAAAAGACCATAAGTCTTTGCCAATTCCATTACTCTTACACCACGCTTATGTTTATCTATGATTTCTTTCTTAATTTTAATGGCCATGGCTTCCTTACTTTTGTTTGAAGCACTATCTGAGACAACAATCTTCTTGGGAGGCATCATGAAATAATTATTTTCACGTTAAATGTAATAAACAATTAACGCACAAGCACACAAACACGTAGATCAAAGAACACTGAGTGATCTGACGAAGGGATTCCCCGAGTCAAGCGGGATCGGAAAATGGCGCCACGTATACCAATAGCCTGGCTCATTGCTCAGTACTCGAGTCACTGGTCATATTTATAGACAAATTTTCCCCTCATACTTTCCTCGTATCTCGGATTTCTCATATATAGAGGTGCTTGTATCTCGAGGTTCCACTGTAGCTGTTTCTCTAAAAAATATGTTTTGTGTTAATGGAATCAATCTTTTAATATTTATAGCATGAATTATTTCTGTATTACTTGTTTTTAGTATGAAAATTTGAAACCTATCATATTTATTAATTAATGTGATAACTGCAAATTACTCTGTAATGGTATCAGTAGAAGTCAATAGCCATTTATCAGTATAAATGTTTGCATCTCAGTCATTTTCAATTGTGTAAAGTCTAATATTAATATTTATAGAATTTGAAAGATTATCTTTTATGAAATAAAATATTGGTGTAAACATTCCTAGCATTACAAATAATCTTCAGTTAATTTTAACTGAAGATAAAAGTACACTTTTGCCTATTGTTTAGAATATGAGTATTTTACATGAGAATCTTTGTATCCACATCCCTGTATTTCCAAAGCTAATAAATTTACAGTATTCAATATAGGAATATAGTAATATTTTTCTTTTATCCTGTCAAAATATTCAATAAAGGAATACCATAACAGGATAAAAGAGTAAATTCACACTTTGAATTATGATCATTTCTGTATATCTAAGTTTTTAAAATGTATATATTTCACCTTAGACTGAATGTGTGGAAAAGGAGTTAAAGCATTTAGAAGATGAAATGTTTCAAGTCAAGAAAGAATTGGAATCAGTTAAGTATTAATGTTCAGCAATTTATTTTCCTTTTTTTTAATAAACTTTTCGTAGGCAAGCAAAGTTGAATTATTTGTCCCAGGAAATATTTCAGATTTGCCATAATCTTTCGTTAAGAAATGTGCTTAATGGAAATTTCTGATTTTGTATAATTTGCACATATTTTCATACACAATTATGTGCTGGTAATGTTTCTATGAATCCGTAGATTATAGTAAGCATGTCAAAGTTGACTGAATTTAAAACTAGTTAATATTATGGAAAATACAGCATTTAATTTTTACATAATGTTATTTATTGAGTTCAATTTATTAAGCAGTATTTCTTTTGGATAACTGACCAATATCAGGTAAATCTAGTAAAAATTTTCATTTGCTTTTTTTTTTTTATCAAATTTTGTCTTTCAAATATTAATTTCAAATAAAAAATTTTGAAACTAAAGTTAATTATCAACCAGCTCAATGATTACATATTTGTATCTATATTAACACTTCTGTTGGTATGCAGAACAGAAGTTTTGTCTATTTTTCATTGAATGTTTAAACTATTGATTTTCAAGCATTACAACTTTCTATTCACTTTTTTACTCGGAAAAAAATAATAAGTAAAAAACTTGATATTCAAGGCTGATTTAAATAAATAAAAAAAAAAAATCTGAAAGGTTTTTACATTTTAAATTACGTCCAAAGGGGCGTTTTTTTTTTACATTTTCTGTGTTACCTTTATTTATTAAATATCATGTTCTTTGCACTTAAAACATAAAATTCAATTCAACAGTAATATAGCGAAGTAATTTAAAAATGAGCATATCTTTAGAATTTTCAATCTTTAGAATTTTCACAGTTCCGTGTGCTGGAGATAAAAAGGTTTTGTTTCCCCCATAGAGTGTTGCCATTGCTTACTTTTAAATCACTGAGTTTGTTAATCAAAAATTCGTTAAAGTTTTACAAAATATGAAATTGATAATAAAACAAATTTCAAATTTGGGCTTTCAAATGCCCATATTCACAGTATTAAGTTCATTAAGTCATTCAAAATTGGATGGCTCTAGGTACTGTTTTTTATCACAATGTGAGAAACATGCATACATTTATGCAGATTCTTTATTATTTAATTTCTTCAAATATAATACAGGGAAATAGTATTTAGTGGCAACGATTTGGAAAGTGATACAGCCTTTTAAAGTTTTCAACGCGGAATGAAAACAGTAGTCCTTTAGACTAATAAATAAATAAAAATAACATTACAGTTAAAAGGAACATATTTTCCTTTTCAAATATTCTAAACTATATTACGAAAATACTATTCATATTCCAGGTTCATTGATAAAATAATTTTAGCTTTCCTTCTCTGATCTTACATATTTAACTATAAATAAAATTACAAGCAACTCTTCTTCCAGATTATGCATCTATCTGTAAACTATATTTTATATTCATGAAAAAAATTATAATTATGCATGTTCTACATAGAAAACTGAAAAGAAGAGAATATGTTTTTTCAGACTATGTGTGAGAGTGCCTATACTCAACAAACTTTGCAATGTGATCTAATGGAAACAAAACAAAGGTTTCTTGAGGTTCAGTCTCAACTGAAATTAGCAGAAAAGGTATGTATAGGAAAAATGTATTTCTAGGCAACATACAATGAGTAATTTTGTTTTATATGTTACAGACAACATATATGAAAGGAATTTTATTGCAATGCATTACCTCCTTTTTATCAAAAAGCATTAATACTGTTATGAATTTTGTATATATGTGAACAATTTTAGTGAAATTCAAATAGGTTTTGTATAATGTAACATGAAATACTTGAAAGAAAGCTCTGCTGGAAAGAGTAAGATTACAGGGTAAGTCTATTTAACATTGAGTAAATGGCTGTCTCATTAAATTGATAAGATATCGTCACCCTGATGATTTTTTTATGACTATTTTTTGTCGCCAAATTTGGTGAGAAATCATCAAATGTCGCCAAACTTGCCAACATTTGATGAATGTAATTGATCACTATACGTAACTGTAACCATATCCGGCCCTCATATGCATTCAATAATTTCAAGAATTGGAATGTACTAAAGATTTCTCATTGGCCAAAGGAAAATTATATAAGATTGGGGAGAGTATCAGTTTCTTAGTTGTTTATATCAGCATGAGTTTGGAGTCTTGAAAGATCTGTGTGGAAGTTTTCCCTTTTTAGATGCGCTTTGCATTGCATTGTGTTTTAATGTTCTTAGTAGTTTTCAAGTGTAACTACTCACTGTGCTCTGTGATACTGAGAAGAGCTTTATGAATATTTTTGAGGAAAATTCAAGAACTGTTAAGTGTTCCTTTTGGTAAAATAAATTTTATCAAACTACCATCGGTTTTGTGTGCACTCGGATCTATTATGAACCCATGAGCATGCAACAATATTTTATATTAATAAAATGATTTGTTATATTTTTTTCTTAAGAAAGACAATAATTTTAGGTATAACAAATAATTACAAAAATTGTATCTAAAAAAGAATTTTAAGGCAAACCATTGTAAATAACACCTCAGGGCAGTATAACTGCTTGAATCTGCAATGCACGTAAAAGTTTGTGAGAATAAATGAAAAAATGGCAGTATTTCATGCATTATTATCCTCAGTTCTTTAAAATGAATGTAGTTCAGCACTAGATGTATACAGATGAATACTATACTGAAATATTTTATGTCTAGGATATTTTCTCCTAATAAATAATAAAAATAAAAATAATAATTTATATATTAAATCAGGAATATATATATAATAATATTCTTGGAATTTTTATGTTACCATATTTTTTTTTTTTTTTTTAAGTTCTTTTAAAAATATTCATGAGTTTTCATCCAGTATTCTTTTAGACAAAATACTGTGACAATAAGATATGTATCTGATGGGATCAGAGACAGGATCCCTCATCGATAGCATATGCTCCTGACACTGAGATGTAAAAATTTGACAAATTTCAGATATAGGTTGTCACTACTGTTAGAAATATTACTGCAATCAAAAAGTATTGGAAATCATTAATTTAAAATATGCACGTGAAAATATTACTTTCAAAGTTTCTTCAGAAGTTTTATAACTTTCATCAACATTTAACAAAAATTCACAATTCATTTCTTTTTATCATTTGTAAATAAATTTGTTTTTAATGAATAAAGAAAATAAAAATTAATAAGAAATCTTCCCAAATAAATTCATTCATAGTAAATAGACAACATGCAATAAATTTTATTTTTGCAGTGGAATACATTCAAAATATTACAATACATGAATTTATTCAAAATGAGTGTTTGCAAATGGGACATGTTATTTCAGGAAGGCACAGAATGAATCAAAGATCAACCACACTCTGGAAGATATCCACTTCAATTAATAAACAACGTTTAAATCAAATTAGCAATCTGATGTTTAACAGTTATTGCTTAATAATTAGGGATATAATTGAACAAATTCCTATATTATTTGGAAGCTACTAACTAGCTCCTATATTATTTGGATACATACTAACATATATAAATTTTAAAACATGTTGAATTTTCCCCAAAACAACATATTTAAGTGTCCCATGAAATTTCTTATGGCAAGTTCTTAAAATGCATTATTACCGGAGATGAAGCATGAATACAGCTTTCTAATATAAAAATAGTTCAATAATGGCACTTAGAAGTTAAAACAAGAGCGAAAAGATCATATGAGAGCTGTTAAATCAAGGTAATATCCACTTTTTCTTCAACTGTTGTACATCACAGATTTTTATCAAGTGGCTAATCAGTTGACAGAGAATATGATGTGAGTATTTTGTATGAAATACATTTTAGGAAAATAACTCATAGATTTCGTATCACAAGAATGCATCTGTTCACAATGCTCTTGTTGTTCAACAAATACAGCCCAGCATTTTCTGTATTCATTTGTGTACCGTGTGATTTTATTTTCTTATATCCATCATTAAAACTATTGCTTCATGGCCATTTTTGATGCAATATAAGATAATTCCCTGCAAGTCCTGAAGAGGTTTCATGATAGCAATTTTTGAGGAATGGAGAAAAAAAGGTTGCCAGTGCATTGCAGTTAGAGAGGATTATGCCAAAAATGATCTAATAAATATTGACGAATAAACTTTAAAATCTTATGTTCATTGAAGCCATTTAATTGATTCTTTTCGATGATAATAGTAAAAAAGAAATTTAAGAAAAATGGCAATTTTCTAAAATAGATCATTGCATTTCCAAAAATACCTAAAGCTACATTGAATATTTTTACTAAGACAACATTTAAAATCCATACTCTTTTTATTGCAATATTAAAAAGCATTTATTTTATGCAAAGCAAAAGTAAATGCATATTTTTATAAAATATTTTTTTAAAATATTTATGCTACTTTTTAACTATCCTGATTTTATAAGGAAATTTAATTACAGTTTTTAAGTTGTAATAACCACTTTTTAATTAATTTTTGCAAATGTTTTTATGTATGAGTTGCAAATAGTTATATATAAAATTAAAATCATTCAGAAATAACGAAGATAAACAAGACCTTGGATACTCTCAAGGTGACCATATGTCCTGCTTTTGACGGGACAATCCCGATTTTTAACAATTTGTCCCGCAACGTTTTAAAAAAGTCCCGATTTTTGGAAGCACGACAAGCTAGGGAATGGGAAGGGAATATACGGTTTTGGATGGCCATGTGGCTAGGATATGAGTTTTATATTATTTTAGTTAATTTTATGATGTTAAACATTAATAATAAAATAATTGTTCAGAATGGATCGTCGAGAACTGCTTATCAAAGTTAGCATTGTTGATCAGTTGTTGGAATTTAACACCATTATTTGGATTTAATGAACAATGGCATTTTTTGGCATTGGCAACGACGAAAACATTTTGTAACTGTCTCTCAGATGATACACATCATACTCAAAGTTCTATAATTCGAAACTTTTATCATGTTATTCGATGAGGGGTAGGGCTATGGCGCCCAGGCACCCTGGTGGTTAAGCACCGCAGTTCAATATTTTAATATTAAAGGTTAGGCCAGGAAAGGGAAAAGCGTGCCATTGGTTGCTGGAAATGACGTCACCCGGGTGACAAGACACAAGGGTCGCTACATGATTTTGGTAATGGGGGGGGGAACATAAACTAAAGCAAAATGATCATTGTATATGTGATAGTTATAATAACATAACGGAAATACGGGGTATATACTTTCTGATTAAGCATTTTGTTAAAGTAAATGTTTATTTTATGCACAGAATTCGTACGAATGCTGAAAATAATGTAAACATTACATCCTTTTCTTAAAGGAAATCATTAGAAAATGAAAAACCATATTTAAGTTAGTTAAGAGAAATAAATGTTGTAAAACAAGGTGTTTTTCAATACTTTTGTGTTGTATTGTCTGCATTAAATAAATCCTGTTGAATAAACACATGAAGGCATAACTGCTAAAACCACGGTAATAACATAATCAAAAAGTATTTTCATATTTATTTGCATTGCTCATGCATTTTTTTGATACAAATGAACTTTGACATTCCACAGAAATATATGATCGTGATTTTCAGTTTAAATTACATAACTCAAGCAAAAATATATATAAAAAGATTTAAACCAACAAATTCATATTTAATTATCCTAAAATTCTACAAATTTCTTAATATCACATCCTTATACTTTTAAATAGACTTATCACATTCTTTTAAAGTCACTTACTTATACTGATTCACTTCAGACTTCAGCAGAAATTCATATATTTTCTGTTTTATCTAATAGCACTCTTATAATCCCTTACACTCCTAAAATTTCTATAGAACATTTATCCTGGCATGTTTATTTGCAGCAAATAATCTTCGATTTTCACGTCCTGTTCTTCCCTCCATACATTAAAAATGTAATAATTAAAATACATTTCTTACACATGAATGCACAATAATAATGGTAATAAACTTCCCTACATCTTAATTTCATTTCAGCCTGTATTCAAATTAAATATTTTTAATTATCAATGTATTTATATCAGGTTGTATCTTAAAATTTTTTGTTATGTTCAAAATAGTGTTCAGTATTTAATTATTTGTCTTTCTCTTATAATTAAAAACAAATTACATGGAATCAAAATTAAAACATATGCATCAGTTAAATAACACTGAAGAGAATATCTTACTTAATCTTTCGCTATTTGTATTTCAGCACAATACACAGATTTGTTTTCCTTTTGGGGTTAAGCATGTGTCACTTAGTTATATCAATTAAATTGCATCAGTTAAATAACACCGAAGAAAATAGGTCACTCAATCATACGATGTTTGCATTATAGTGTGGTCAAGAAATTGTTCTTTTCTCACAGTGAAGCATGTATCAGTTTACTTAGTTCGCAATGCTTGCTTGCGAACAGACATTGCTTCAATACATAGAATTACATTTGGGATGTAAAGAAAGTAACTAAAACATGTGAATGAAGTTGGATAAGTGAATTTATGAACTAATCATTCAGGTACTCAGTATTGGTAAACATGTCACTGAGTTTAAATATCTCACTATGATGTAAGTCTCATTCACAAAATGAAGATTATGATAAAAAATGAGAAATTTTTCAATTTTAAATGTAAAATAGCAGTAAAATGAAAAATAACTGTAAAATTACATCACAGTTATGTATGAAAACTACATAAATTGATTAAAAAATAGTCAGTTATTTTATCTGGTTGTAAAGAGTGTTTTCCGCTAAGAAACGTATTGCCGTGTATAATTCTGACACAATGCTATAGCACAATTTGCCACTTCCGACTAGGTATAATAGCACATTAACAACACAAATCAAATCAAACTGTTAATGCAACGAATGTAAACAAAGACCAAGAACTAACGACTGTCACTCACATGACGTCATGCGCATGTGCCATAATTTTCTCCCTGCACTACGCATCGCTCTTGGGCCACCCCTGCATCATACTAGTGCTAGTTAAACAAGTGATGCCAACAAATGAGTTATTCAGATAATTTAGGTTAGCAATTTATTTCATAAATACAAATATTTTTCTGAATTTAGCAGACATTGCTCGTGTTATTTATATTTTATTGTGGCTGCAAAATGTCTAGCGCAGGCCTTGAAAGTGAGACTTACGACTTACATTACGGTAAATTCAGAGGAAAAATAATAGAAGTTAGTATTGTTATTATTTAGAAAGAAATATTAAAATAATTTTAAAATATAGTTACTTTATAACAATCAAGTTAATTTAATTTATAAAAACTAACAATAAGATATCTTCATGTAATGTACCTACTTACTGTGTTTTAAGCAATATGTATATAATAATTTATAATATAATTTTTTTTTAGATTTTTAATACAGTGAGTAAGAAAAGAGAATGCAAATTCAATGATGATTTAAGATGTGAATTTCCTTTTATTAAAAAAAACTAAAAGCAATTACATGGTAAAATGTGAGATATGTAATAGTGAATTTTCTATTTCGTTTGGCGGGAAGAATGATATTTCAAAGCACTTGGAGACACAGAAACATAAAAGATATTTAAATACTGCTGCATCTTCCTCTAAAATACAGGAATTTTTTCGGAAAATAACTTCTGGAGACGAAGAAAAGAAATTAGCAGTAGCAGGATTAGTGTCTTTTGGACTTATGCCAGAACAAAATCCGAGGCAATTGTGTATAATGTGCTTTCCCCGCATGCATTTTCAGAATTAAACAATAATCTAGAACAAATAATTTTATATTCATATATTCTGAAGTACCTAATCATAAGGATATAAAGTTATTTCCAACCATAATTAGATTTTTTGATTCGGAAACTGGAATAAAAATTAGAGTTTTAAATTTCTTTTCTTTGTCCGGCGAAGCTTCTGAAACAATTTTCAGTACCATTGTTAATATTTTGGAAAAAAAAAAAAAAAAAAAAAAAAAACATAAAATGATTGCATATGGTGCAGATAACATGAGTGCAAATATGCAAGACGAAAAGCGAGAAAAGGTACAAATAATATCTCTTATAAATTAAACAAAAACCTTAATCAAAACATTATTGGTGTTGGTTGCACAGCACGTATATAATACATAATGCCATTCAAACAGCTCCTGACTTGTTGCCCGCAGATGTGGAAAATATTGTTATTAAAATATATTCTTATTTCTATATATACACTGTGCTTGTTGAAATGCTTAAAGAATTTTGTGAAACTGCGGAAGTCGAATATCTGAAAATATACAATCCTTTGAAATTCTACTTTCTATCACAGGATAAATGCCCTAGAATTTTAGAAGAGTTCTTTGAAAAAGAATCTTAAAAAATTTGGCTAGAGTTTGTACACAATCAAGCAGCTCTTTTTCAAAATGCTATAAAAGTTATTGAAGGTGACAAAATTTCGGGTATCTAAGTAGCAAATGAAGTTAATAATCTAAAATTCCAGTGTCAAGAGCGGTTAGAAAATAATTTTCTTCGATTAACTATCCATAATAGTATAAGCCAGCTAGAACAACAAGGTGCAATAAATCATGCAGATATCATGAATCATGTTAAAAAGTTCTATAGTAACTGCATAGATTATTTAGAATGGATGGTACATTACAGTGATATCGAACATTTTCATTGGATTACATTCAAACAAGAACTTAATTGGAATGATGTGCAAAAATCATTCGATCATATTACTCAAAATTTCCCATATAGTAATATTTCTAAAAATGATTTTTTTAATGAGGTATCATTATTAAAAAAATATATTGATAAGGAAAAAGTTAAATCTTAGGCATCAGAAAAAATCACAATAGAGAACAAATGGTTAGAAATATTTCATCATTTTGAAACAAACCGTATAAACCATTATAATGCACAGAAAATATATGCGCTATCTTTACCAGGAACTAATGTTGCGACTGGATGTGGTTTTCTACGGTAAATAAAGTATGGACATCAGAAAAATCACAATTATGTGTTGACACCTTGAAAACCATTTTATGTGTGAAATATAATTTAACAAATTCTTGTGAAAAATTTCATGACCTTTTAAACAACGACAGCAATTTACTTTAAAAAAAAATCATTCAAATGAAAAATATGCCAAAGAATAAAATAATATTATACATAATTTTTTTAATGTATTATATTTGTAAACTGCACTTATGTGGAAATAAAAAAAATGTATATTACAATACTATTTTTGCATTCCGTGAAAATTTTAGACGTTTCATATAGACCAAATTTTTAATCAACAACCTCCCCTGGTCAATGGTATCCCACTTTACCAATGTTAAAAATTTGGTCACCTTAAGCATTCTATTTTTTCAAACTTTTTTATATTCTATTTTTTCAAACTGTGCACCTATAACATAATATGTTATACTTCTACTACACAGGAATTAGAGTTGAAATTTAGTCAGACTGGAGCTTTCCAAAACATGAAGCAAATCTTAGCAACTAAAAATGAACAAATCAAAGATTTACGACAACGGCTTCGCAAGTAAGTCTTTACTTTTATTTTCCTTGTACCCTAGTTTTATGTGTAATAATATTATGATACAGATATTTTATCCCACTTATTTGAAATTTAACTGATAAATATTTTTCAAACTATTTAACAATTAGTTTTGGTGCAAAATGTTTATAATTCAAAACTAGAAAACTGTGTTAATACATGAAGTAGATAAAATCTTAACATAAATATATTTTTATCTCTTCTACTTATTTATATAGTTCTTTCTAGTGTAAAAGTATTGTAACTAAAAATTTTTATAACTTGCAATGGCTTCTTATTATATCTGAATCTGCTGAGCAAGATGCATGTTTAGATTAACATGTTTTAAGAAGAAATTAAACATATATTTGGAACGTTAAAATAGTTAAAAGTTCAGGCACATGACCTAAGCAAATAAATACAGTAAATGAAATTCCAGGATTTTGTTGTTAATTTAGAGGAGGAAGAGTGGGATATTTGCTGAAAAAAAATTAGTGCTTTGCAAGGAAAATTAAAAAAAGCAGCATTAAAAATATTACATCATAGGGTAAATTTTAAAAGTAAACATTCATTATGCATGTATTACATACTTAAACATTAATACAATTGCATAAACAGATTACTGAAGAAATCAGGATTTGTGTGTCCAAATATTGCTTGCAGAAACAATTGGCCTAGTATTTCATATTTTATGGCTTGCTGAATGTGCATTTCACTGTTAAATGCATTTCTCATCATAATTTTATTTCACTTTTCATTTTTAATGTGACTATCTATATACTGCTGTCTCAGGAATTAATATTTTTATCTTTAAAACTGATAAAAGTACATAAGTTTAAGTCATATGCAATTTAGAGTATGTTAAATAAATAGAGGTCACTTTATGTATATAAATTTATTTGAATACTTATATAAAAAATCTGATGTGTACACCACATGACTTCCTTGTACGGAATATTAAATTATACACATATTTTCTTGCATTTCATTTAAACTTATTGGATTGAATTAAATCTACTTCGTCGATAGCGCATAAACCACAATAGAATAAATGCACTCTTTAAAATTCACTATATTTGTTTACCGTAGTGACACTCTGGCACTAGCTTCACTTAACAGCATTATATTTCGTTCATATTATAACTCAGAATGCACATTAACTTATATCATTTGAAGAATTACCTAATCATTGCCACATGTTCTATTCAAATACTATAATAAAGCTAGAACAATGTATAAAAGAAATTAATCAAACAAAACAGAAAAAGAAACAGTTTTTCACAGACGATTCAGTATTTCTCATTCAATTAATTCAGTTCTCACTTCGCGACAAGGCAAAAATACATAAAAACTCAAATTAATTTTATTAAAAATTACGAAGTAAATTTTAAACACTTATTTCCATGAAAAAATAGGCCCACCAGCGGCTGAGCGGCAAAGTCGCTGAACACTGGTAGTTCGGTCCAAGGTTTGAATCCCGCGAACGGGCTGGCATGGGTGTTTCTGTTGTTTTCCCCATGTGTAACGTGTATACGAGCCAGTTTCCCTTAGAAATGCCTCCGCGAAGGCATCCCTTCCCTTAGGCAGATAGCCCTAGTGTGCCTTGAAATAATTAAATACACATCTAAAAAATTCCCGAAAGGATTAAGCATGATTTGATTTGCAATAATAAATGAAGGCATTATCTTTGTTGTTGCGAAGCTTAGTCTCTCTAGATTGGCAACAACTCTACTATTCTGCTGTTTCAAATGTAAACAAACATGTCTGCCATGTTATTTAATAAAAATTAGGCTTAACCGCACTTAAACAACTTTTAAATTGTTGTAACCGGAAGATAAGAACAACATAATTCAATCATTTTTAAAGCAAAAAATGCACAATTTATAAACGTATAAGAGTAAAGAAACTGAGATCACTGAGCCGGGTAACAGAGTGGATATGTATATATATAAATATGTTTATATATATTTGGTGTGGGCGATTGCAACCAAAATATGAGGTGCACATCTACATGTTATAGCAGTCCTATATACAAAATTTCAACGTTCTAAGGCTACCCGTTTTTGAGTTACGCGAGATACGTACGTACGTGAAGACACCACGAAAAATTCTCTTCAGAATTCATTTTAAAGCAGATTTATAATTTTTTTGGAGGAAAAGTCTTTTATTCTGTCCTTACGTACAGATGTCACTCAAAAACATCCTTAAGTTAAATTGCTTTCAATAGCGGTCAAAATTGATATTTTCGTTGAAATATGCTGCCTGAAACTTTTCGCAATTACAATGCTTCCTTTTTACTTCGTACAAGGAAGTAAAAAGAATTAGTTTGTAAGGATCTTAAGTTTTACTAACGTTTATTTTATTTTAAATCTTTACTATCACTTCTTATTTTCTACTTCCGGCCAGAATTATAAGCGTTAAGGTTTTTATGCAAAGTTTGTCTGGCGAACGCCAAGTATTTAAGTTGTGGCTTTTTGCCAAGCGAGAGAGAGGAAGCAGTGAGTCGAAGCAGGCCGCTTACCTTAGAAGTTACGCAGTTGCTTGTTGCCTTCCAGGCCAGAGGTTTTAATCCTCTTGATAAATTTTAAACGTATTGTAGTGTTCACAGTTCTCTGTACTACATACGCTTCCTGTTAATATAAGGCCAATCTTCCACGTTTATTATTCTAAAGTTAAATTAGAGTTTAGTTTTATTCTTATACTTTTACGTTTTGACCCCAAGTAGAGTTACTAGAGATACAGGCTGACTCGTCAGCCATTTTGAATCTAAGCTTTAGGGTTGCAATTTAGGTGTGGAGCGGCAACTTTGGCTCTTTAGCGCTGTCCGCTAAAATTTAACATTCTAGAGAATCCAAATTTCAGCTTTTTTCTGCACTCCTATAAAGATGTGTGGCTTTTTCCCCTTCTTTTGTCTGAAGTGCAGATTCTTTCTCGTATTTTTTTTTTAATTGCCAAATTTATTGTATGATTCAAGTTATTTTAAAAGTTTCTAAAACATTTTCACATATCATATTTCAAATTTGTATTTTTAGTTAAAAATACTTTCTTTTTGAATTCCTTTATTGAATTTTCAATTTTTTCTTTTAAATACATGCATAATGTTATTCCTCTCAAAATGTATTTTTTGACAAGAGCTGTCCCTCAACCACATTCTTAATATGGTTGAGGGAAATCCCTCAACCTCCATTAATTTAGGACAAGATTTAATCTTTAATTCTTGTTTTTTATTTTTAATATGTTATTTGAATTTTGCTCACATGGAATCAAACGTCTATTACTGTAGCAAATTTGTTAAAAAAGTTATTTTGTGTGTGTTTCCAGAAAAAGCTGCTAAACACTTTATGATTTTAAATACTGATTCAGGATATACACCTTTAAATTATAATGCTTTTAGAATGAAGTGCAGAATGCTATAAAAATTACTTCAATGCTCAGATGACTGTGGGATTCATAGATTTAATAGAGTAAAAAATTCCATTAAATATATATATATAATAATAAAGAAAACAATATATATATATATATATAAATATATATATATATTGTTTGTTCTTTATTTAGCTAAAAACAATATTAAAATAATACACACACAATAAATAAAAATAAAAATAATACCTTTACATACAGAAAATTTACAGATACTATTTACTTATAAGTTTATTTGTTGTTGATAGTTACTTTTTATTACACTTGGAAAAATTATACTTACATACATATGCTCTTAATATTACACGTATCTGAATATTTAAATGATAATTCCATAACATAATAAGATTCAATCTATATCACAGCAAAGACAATACTTAAATCACAGTTCTTTTTATTAATTAATTTGCATAAGTAAAACATAAAAATATTATTTAGCTTCAAATCTATAAAGTAAAGTCCTCTAGTAACAAACCATATGAACAAACACATATAGTGAAAATAAAGATAAATAAATAGAAAATGTTTTCGCTTTTTTGTCTAATGTAGTGCAATTTCAGTCTCTTATATTCAAATTTTATTAAAACATACTGCAGTAATTGAATTTTTTTCCATTATTCATCAAACAGCTTTATATAGAATGATATTATATTAGTTTTACTTTTAAAACTATTGGGTTGGAGGGAAAGTTCTGTCGTATTTTAAGAAAATATTTGAATTCATTTATAAAATATGTGTTTAATATTAATCAATTATATATGCTTCCGTTATTTGTTACAACCTGTTGCCATCATTCCAGGTAACCTGTAAATTCCTGTTTTGTAGAAGTTCTCATCATTAAAGTTAAAATTAGTCAGCAACTGCCTTAGAAACACTTTCAAAAGACTTGAATTTTTTTCCCGTTAGATAAATTTTGCAGAGATCTGAACATATGATAATCAGATGGATGCAATGTCAGGTGAATATGGTGGGGTGACTAAGGACTTCCCATCCTAACGCATTCAGTTTTTGTAGTGTCACCATTGCAGTATGCGGTCGAGCATTATCGTGGATGGAACATTATTCCTTTTCTGGACGCTAAGGCTGGACCTTTTCTTCTTTGATAGCTGCATTCAATTTATCCAGATGATTGCAGTACAGATCAGCGTTGATGTTTTTTCCCTGTTTCAGCAACTCGTAATACACTGGACCTTTCCTGTCCCACCACAAACAAAGCAGTACTTTTCGTTGATGGATACTTGGTTTTGGAACTGTTGCTGATGATGTTCCTGGTTTGCAGTAAGATTTTTTCTTTTAATATTCTCGTAAAGAATCCACTTTTCATCTCCAGTAACCCAGCCTGTCCCAAAACGGCTCCACATTGTGTCTAATCAGATGTGATGAACATATTCTTACACGATCAGACAAATTCTTTTCCGTTAATTCATGTGGAACCCAAACACTTTGCTTTAACACAAAACCCAAGAGATTTAATGTGATCTCCAACAGTTGTATGATGAATGCCAAACTCTTCTGCCAATTTCTCGACTTGTTAAATGTGGATTATTTTCCAACATGGATCGCAAAACATCATTATCGATCTTGGATGGTCGTCCAGATCGAACACTTTC